TTCATCCGTCCTCATCTGGTGAGATCGACCAACGAATCTCTTCTTCATGCACTTTCATACGAAATGAAGACCCCTCTGACAGGATGAATATAGCTTAAATCATTTGCCAATAAAGCTTAAATGATTGTTTTGCGTAATTATGTATATTACTCGTTAGTAGCATAGTTAGCTGGAAATATAATGGAATAAATGAGCACTAGACTCTGATAAAGATTTATCAAAAATCATCTTTCATAAGACTTAACTTTATAAATTGGGTGGATTAATAGGCTCTTCTAACCGAAATTTAGAGAATGAATTTATTGCTATATACTGTTGCGCAGGTTTTTGACCATATAACTTCTCGGTATAGCGATGTGCAATCTCGATAAATACATTTTCAGCCAACCCATATCAAATGAACAAACAATTGAATGTGAGATTTGTGCATGCAAGCCTTATAGTAAACTTTGTTTAACAAAACAATCCTCTTATAATTCTAGTCTTGATTTTTGTCCAGTAGTAAAAAATGTATTTTACTGATGAATTTCATGAAAATGAAACTCGTTTAATTTATTTCTAGTGGTAACTAGCTCATCCTTGGCTTGCACTAGGTTAAGTGTAAAGGTAAATATGCGGTTGTCCGTGATCTGGTGTTTTTAAACGTGAAACACTCATTTTATAAACAAATTTATAGAAGCTCTTTAAAAATCCATGCACATCAGATCATCTTTTTAAATGGCACTTTACTATCTTTTTCACAGATTTGGTATATTAACTAGATATAATTATTATGAAAGCCATATATTCCACCTGTTTTACCTCATGAATTAACTGTTTTTTCAAGCAAATAACAATTCATTATAGTTATCAAAACGTTGTGATCAAAATCTTTCATTTAATTGCCTATTTTTTAAATTTAACTCTCTTGTTGCATTGTTGAATTAAGGCACGATTGTCTTACACGAACCTCTTTGTTATGTTTTAACATTTCTTTATTAAATGAAACCTAGTTTTATACTTTAAATACCGTTTCATCAAGTAAAATATCAACTCAATAAAAGAGCAGATTTAATTTTTACATAATATGATATTAATGCATAATTAGAAGGCCAAAGCAAAGCCTAATATTTGACCACAGTATCGATAAACCCAAAACTTTCTTTTCACTTTTGATCAAGTTTGACATCATAAAAACCGAAGGGTATATAAAGTTGGAGCAATGGATCAAAAAAGAAGTTTTGCACTATTTCTCAATACCTACTCTGAAAGATATATAGAAGCTTCTCTGGTTGTCTCTTCTGTAATGCGAATAAAGTCCTCCAACGTGACGGGCTCATCTTCAGGGATGTCAGACAAACAGGTTAAAGACATGTCCTGAAGTACGGCTTCCACTCGGCAGCTTATGATGTCCGAACATTGCTTGATTAGAAGCTCCAACGCTTTCAATTCGCTGTCAACTTTGCTTAGAACTTTAAAAGTATACATTTGCATTTATAATGGTAAAATAGATATCAAATTAATTCAATTTCTTCAATTTAATGCAAATTTCCTAATTTGAAATAACCTGAATAATTTAACTAATTTCAAGCATTTCATGGTTCATGGATAAAACTATGTGTAAGATTCCTTAAATGTATGCATCTAGGTTTTCTTCAATGGATGTTATGTTATATCATTCTTTCTGATATGGAACATAGTAAAGAAGACCTCTTAACTTGCGCATTATGTAAGATGAAAGTACAATTTATATCTGAAGGAAATATTTGAAAAAGTAACTACTCGAGAGATTTTGGTCCTTACATTCCTCAATATTCAATGAATTCCAAGAGAGAAGAGAGAGACCAGGACTGAAGGCCTGATGGATTCGTTCAAAAAATGGGGTCATCAAAGGAAGAAGAACTTGAGGGATATTGCGCTCAATCTCCTCGAAGTGCAGTAAATACTCCTGTAAGCTATAAAAATAAAACGGTGTTTACATATTTAAGCACATATACATAAATCAGTACACTTTTAAAAACCAGTCACAAATATGATTCATAAATATGTGGCATAGCAACTACTTCTACCAAAGGAGTCCTATTTCTTAATATTTTATTCAACTTGTTCAACAAGATTTTAACAACTTTTGTAAAATTAGTCAATTTATCTATTCAGATAGCATATACTTTCCACAATCTGTCTTGGATAAGTCTTTAATCTTGCCATTTTACTATGGGAATAGGCATCCATAAGCTAAAAAAATATAAAAATTCACCTTTAGGCAATTAGTGGATTCCGAGTCTAACCTGTGTGATAGAAGCATTTGACTAATCTATTGGTTTCCTCCTAGTTCTTTTGATACTAATTAACACTTATGTTCATAACAGGAATTTTTTTCATTGAATATTTTCATATTTTCATCCACTGCTTGACTAAATTGTCACCTTAATTAGTATGAGTTACGCGCTTTAGTTGTTGTCAAATTACGTTTTTTTCTGGTTTTTATTGTTTAACTGAATATACCATCATAATAGACATGCAAGTTTAGGATGAATTTCCACGAATCTCTTTTGTGGAAATTGTGAGTAATAATGATAATTAGATTCTCAAAATCTACCCCAAATAAATTTTTTAGCGACACTTAAGTAAGGTATTGAGATTACGGCAAGTACATAAGTTGCATATCAAGTTTAATGTTACCAGCTTAGCATTAAAACTAGTGTTCTTTTGTGACTTAACTGGACAAATGTTGCATCTATACCTGCGCAGCCACAATCCGAATTTAACTAAAGAAGTGCTGATGAAATGTAATGCAAAATAAACCCCTTTTTGATGACCATCGGGGAAGCGATTAGCTCGGGTGCCTACTGATAATACAGAAAGAAGAATCTTGCAAAGCACAACTGAATTTAAGAAAAGGGACGGAAGGCTCAGGTATATAACCAAGGAATAGAATTATCACCTGCGTTGTATGTCTTTAAGCCGAGGCTCCTGC